CATTATATTTTTAAGCATTTAGACTTCAATTACTTGTCCAGGGCTAGGGAGGACGAAATGCCCCTCTGCAGACAGCAAGTGCATGAAGTCTCACTCAATTTGTGTGGGACTTAAAATTGTCATCAGATTTCAAGTTGAATTTCACTCGCAGGGGGATAGTGGCAGCGCTAAGTAAGAAAACATATTCCTATTTCCCTGTTCTCCCATCTGCCCAGACAGACCAGGCTATCCATGCCATATTTCCGTTTAAGTAACTATGGAGGCCCCAGACTGTTAACTGATTTAATGAATATCCATTTTTGCCATCTTTTTAATTAATTTTTTGATACATTGTTCTTGGTCAGGTATGAGTGTGACAGCAAGCCTGTTAATCAGCCAGACATGTCAAAAACAGGTGCCAAAGGGATAACAAATAAAGGATTAAAAGCTATCCGTCAATATGTCTACCTTCCTCCAGACCTCCAGTGATCCTTGCAGTCAGAATCTCTCAAAACAATAATAGAGGAGGAAAAAAGGGAGGGAAATAGGTATTTATTTTGAGTGTATTTTGTCCGTGAGATTGAAGGGATTCTTCTCTGCTACAATATCTGTGCCTTCATAAATGGTTTGGTTACTCTGCGAGATCAAAGAGCGTGGTCTGTTCACCCCTCAAGTCACTGAGGATAATGAAGGGAATTGAAAAGAAAACAACATGAGGCACTGGAGATGAGAGGGTAGTTTGTGTCCCAGAGCTATTTTGTTACATTGATCATCCTGCAGTAGGCTTCAGAAATGACAAGCTGCTCACTGAGTCCCACAGAAACTGAGACTGAAATCTCTTAAGATATCCAGGGGCTGGAGGATAAATAAGGCAGGGCCAGCTGTTACGTACAAAATGACTACCTCGGTAGGATAAGCCCCAAACACCTGAGAGCCCGGGAGACAAGAAACTGGTTCCCACTTTGTGCATTAGTCAGCCAGCTCCTGGCTAATAAATCCTTGACAAATGCATGCCCCAGGCATTTGGCAAATACCTGCAAAACAGGGTTTATGAGGAGGGACAGTCCCTGCACAATATTCTTTCGAACACAAACCTGCAACAGCTGGCACTGGGAACTGATAGCACAAGTCAACCGGACACGCATAGCCTTCACGATCGTAACTCAACCTATGAAATCTTGGTAAGGGAGATGGATCTGTGGAAGGCTGATGGGCTAAATTGACAGCACTCCGGTGACACGACAGCTCTTCCAGCCTCTGCACGGCTTCTCCACCCTCAGCTGAGCACTTTGGAAAGAGAGAAGCCTCTCTCCAAAGCTGAAAGCAAGTTTTACTCAATATTAAGCAGAAGTAAGCGATCTAATGGCAGGTAGCTGCTGGGATGCAGCACGCTTGTTTATAGATATTGTAATTATTACAGGGTAACTGCTGTGCTTTTAGTTCTTGCTAATTTTGTTTTGGCTCATCTTCTCTGATTTACATGCAGAGCACCGGTCTCTAATGCAAACAATTGTGTGAGTTATAGAAAACTCTTAAGTGAACAGCCTGTTTTCTGGTAAGTGAGGCTGTACTCAGAAAAGTATTTCTTACAGACGGCACCATGGTATTCTTCAGCTTGCTTAAGAATTTTCTTATCAAATATGGTCATTTTTGCTTCTTTTTTTTATAAAAGATTACTGAAACATCAGTCCTTCAAACTGAGCACTGTGTCTGAATGTCAGCACTGTGATTTTCATGCTGAATATATTGATAGGATTCATACCACCGATCCGTGGGCACGGTTGGGCTTGGCTGCTCTTGAGGTCTATCTAATCCTCACCCAATCTGTGACGCTCCAGTGTACTTTGGGGTAAGGAATAATGAAGACCACAGCACACAAATATAAAATAATCTGCCCATCTCCCACATCAGGTCTCACTTAGTCTGTATACTAAAGCTCTTATTCTCCAAAGCACAAGAAATTTAAATCCCTTCTAAAATGAATTATTTATATCAACTCTAGGTGATCTACGGCAACTTTGCGGAGCTGGGAATACTTACACACAGGAAGGGAAGGCAGGCAGTGAGCCTTGTGAAGGAAGCTGCCTGAGCAGCAAGACAGTCTAAATTTAGAATAAATACAACATTCCTCATCATCGATTGCTCCATTCCTGGGAAAGCGACTTGCAAAGTCTTCATATTTTCCCTTTGCATCATCAATACCATCATCAGGCAGCAATAATACTGTTAGCAGCGCCGTTAACCTTTTATGGCCTTGGCTTAATGGTGCTCAGAGCCAAATCCAAACAGAGCACAGCTGCCTGAAGTGCAACCACACCAGAATTGAGGTGCCCAAATTCAAGAACCCATCCCTGTGAAAATCCCCCTTGCCCACTGCAAAAGCCAGCACCTGCTGCTTTGCTGCTGTAGATATCTAGGCTGTCCACATTTGTGGGACTTGACTTGCAGTGTATTGAAGTGCTCTGTGGGCACTGCAGTCCTGCTGCCACTTTTTTCCTTCCGATGGGCAGCGGCTGGGGCCAGCAGCACAGCCCAGCACTCGCCAGCCACTGAGGGTGCAGAGTGGGGACAGGACAGAGGTCTGTGCCACCTCCATTTCAGCCTGCAGAGGTAGCTTTGCCTATCAGCTAGGCAACGGCAACTGGTCGCTGCCCCCACTAAGAACAGGAGCGACGGGGAGAAGTCCCCTCTGCTTCTCCCATCTCCTGTTCCTGTTGGCAGTGGCAGATCAGCTGGCTGCTGGTAGGGAGAGACAGACATGGCCTTAAGCACAATATACACATGCATGGGTAGCTACCTGAAGAAACTGAGTAGAAGCTGCTTTTTCCAATCTTGTATTTCCCCCCCACTGTAATCTTGGCTGAAGCTGCGCTCCTGTGCAGCCAAGAAAGGCTCAGCGCAGGCCAGGAAGAAAGCGAGAGAACAAAAGAGAGAGAAGAACCTGCCCATGGTCTAGGAAGAGGGGCTGTCCTTGGAAAGGGGACAGACAGCCCATGCTCTAACCTACACGCCAAGGGATGCTTATGCATTTTGCATGAAAGAGCACATGGACAAAGGGTATAAAAAAGCTAAGTCCCTTTGTTTTAAAGCACCGACAGTGCACAAACCACACCCTGTTGGGATTTAGTTAGTTTATTTAATGATGCAGAAAAGAATATAGCCCCCCCTCTTCTCCAGGCTGTGTTGAATCTTCAAGGCTGACAGATTTTATTTTGCTTAAGGGAGTGACACTTTTCAGAACTGCAGCGATTTTTAAGGCTCCCCAGATACCTTTGTTTACCTATTGTATTTAAATTGTGTTAATCCAGCTCTCAAAATTATATACATTCTGATGGAAACAAATTGCCAAGGCCGGTAACTGGCTGCAAGCCATTGCTAGAGAGAACACAAAGGGCTGGACGTGATCTTTGGTCTGAACCGGTGCTACCATTCATTCACCTGCTCTCCTGGTTGCTCACATCCAGACATAGCCCTTAAAGCATCCCTTAAATGTATCACTTAAAACTTTATACTGTCTTGGCAGTTCTCTGCATAAAAATCAGTCAGTAACTTGCAAAAGACATTTGTGTCTTCCTAGAAGATAGGCAGGTGGGATCGTCAAAAAGCAAGCAATGGTAGTCATATATAGTGTTTTATTGCTACTACTAATAAATTAATCATAGCAAATTTAAATATTTAATGTGTAATAATGTTGGCAAAATAAAAAGAACGTGGGTGGGTTTTGTTAAGGCAAATGCAGTATCTCAGGTATGTCCCTTTAAACAAGATTTCAGAATCTGTGAAGTTATTTTTAGCCAACCTTGACTTAACATTCATCAGTCATTTTTTACTCAGTTGCAGGTGGTCGTTTAGCATGCTGCTGGCTTTGCTGTCTCCCTCCCTTCCTCTCTCTCATTTCAGATTATGCTAGTTTCTCCTCAAAGTTTTAAACTTTATCAGCTCCCTTACACTTCTTGCATTTGAAAATGAGGCTGAAAAACAGATGGAAGCTATACTATCTACTCTACTGCCGAGGTTGGTTGTTTCTGACTCTTCTCTGTATCCACTGACTCTCTATTTGGCAAGAGTCAGCTTTACCTTTGAGCCTCACACTGTGAAAGCTGTTAGTGTCTGTGTCACGTCCTTGTAAAGTACATATTTTCAGTTGTTGGCTTTGCTTAAATTAATGCATTACACTTAGAATCATAGAATCGTTAAGGTTGGAAAAGACCTCCAAGATCGAGTCCAACCATCAACCCAACACCACCATGCCCACTAAACCACGTCCCTAAGCGCCTCATCTACACGTCTTTTAAATACCTCCAGGGATGGTGACTCAACCACTTCCATGGGCAGCCTGTTCCAATGTTTAACCACTCCTTCAGTAAAGAAATTTTTCCTCATGTCACTTGAACTGCAGAGAACTTATACTGTATATTTTGTCTCCCTAAGCATTATTTGGCATTATAAAAAAGACTATAATTTACACTGCAATTAAAAAAAAAAAAACAAACAGGCTATTGATTTGAGCTTCCATTAAGCGTATGTCTGTGCAAGAACCAATGCTACTGGTAGTAATTCCCAACCTCTGTTTCCACTTCCCTCACTGCTGATTAGCTTAACAAGCAACGATATGGCACTGCACTCTCAGAACTTCGAAAGGAAAAGGAGAACAAGGGACTTTGCCAAAAAAATCCAAACCATTAAAAAAAAGCACAATTTTGAGGAAAAGGTGAGTCTTGCTTTTCTTAAAAAAAAAAAACAAACCACCAACCCTTATGATGTGAATTGTAAATTAATGTCCATTCTAAGTTGTTTGCACTCTATGTAGTCCACCCCAAACCTACGCACCATCTAAGTACTATTTGAAAGAGTTAGAGAGAGAGAGTTTAAAAAAAAAATACATGAGCCTTGGGCTGCTCCTTTGCAGAGAAATGCATTTTTTCCAACAAGTATTTGTTTTCTTTAGGCTAAGATAATTTTTGTAATTAGAAGGAAAAAAAATATTAGTGATCTCAAAAAGATTCCATAAAAAACAAGAACATTCTAGTCTTTTTAAGCATTTTAGTTCAGCCTCCCTCCTTTTTCTTGCTTAGAACAAGATGGCAGAAATGGGGGAATGAAGAATTGTGATTCTTCTGGTCATGTTCAACATGACCTGAACATGCCATGGCTACTATAAAACCACTAGATCTCATTACTATTAGTATACTAATATAGTATTAGTATACATTAGTATATTCCCCCTCTCGGGAAGGAAGACAAATTTTGAAAGAGAAGCCCTCCCTCTACTGAATTACAGATACAACAGAGTGCAGATCATACTCATTTCTTAACTGTTAAAATAAATAAATATCCGAGTTTCTAAAGAAAGGACTAAAAAACTGACAGCATTCTGGAATGGCAAGGTAACAGAGCCTTAAACGAAAGGTGGTAGAGAAACACGGACAGTCAAAAAGGAGAGTAAATGTGAATGGTTTCTAAACCCCAAAAGCCGTAACAAATTTGTTCCTAATACCGCATTTCATGTTTTCCACAGTAATATTCTTCTAACAGATGGTTCCTTGAGCCGTAATTGTCTTTTCTTTGAAAGACAATTTGGGACACTTACATCAACACAGCACTATGTAGAGGATGTCATCTAAATTTTGGTCCCCTTTGGAAACATCCAGCTTTGTGGCATGTTATTAATTATTCTGGGATAGAGATGCACTATTGCTAACATTTGTACTTTTCACTGAAAATCCTGTAGTATTTACTGTTTCACCTATAAAAAGCTGTTTCTTGGAACAAAGTGGTTATGTGATAATCTAATATTTAAATAAAAATGCAGGCACTCACACTTCTGTGGTAATGCTAAATGTTCAAATACAATGAAAACTTAATAACAACGTATTTCTAGGGCCTAACGTTTTCCTATACTAGGAAGTAAGTTCTAAGATAGGTTGTTCTTCAAGACTCTATGGAGCTACTGCAGGAAAATCAATCAAAGAATAGGTAAGGCTACAAATACAGTCTTCCTGGGGTCCTTTTGGCAGAAGTGCCAAAACCTGGTGAAAGTTGTTTCATTCACTAAGAAGTTATGCAAAAGTTGTCATCTTTCGTCCACCGTGATCTCTAAGTGAGGAAAGGTTTAATGCCTTAGAGGACGTGGCCTCTGTTCAGCACTTCTGGAGAGCAAATTTATGCAAGGCAGCGGGTATTATGTCTGGGAAAGGACCTCCAGACAGGTCTCTAAGTTCTTTTTGTTTACAGTATTTTCTTCTCAAGAAATTGTCATCTCATCTCAGAGAGACAAGCACCCTTTCAAAACAAAGAATGACTTAATTTACCTGACTCACTGGCAAAAAACAAAAGCGGCTGAAGGGGCAGACTTAACTGCAAGTGAAACTAAGAAGTCACAGTTCTCTTTTGAACATTGATTCAAACCATAAGCAACCCAAAAAGTCCAGGCAAAGCTGTAAATCAGATTCTGATCCCATCAATATCAGAGCCACAATTCAATACTTCAGCCTGTGTAACTGATATTACGATGTGGACCATTCTTCTTTAATGGCAAAAGAAGTGTGTTTTCCAGCAGAAATCTTCGCAGCGTGCCTGTGATATGGACAGGGCTTTGCAATATTGCTAAGTCAAGACTGCTTTCCAAGGCATAATGTTTAAAGGTTTGAGTTTTGTTGCTGTCTAAAGAGTTTTTCAAACTCTTATAGCTTCATTTGTGATCTTGGACCTGTGAAGGATAATAGGTTGGGAGAGTATCACTGCAGACAGACAGCTCCTCAGTTCCAAGCTTCAGGTCAGCCTGCATTGGGTCGGAGTCACCCTTCAGCGCCGTGCAGTTTCTCAGCTGCAGTTCTTTGGTGAAGCAGAATTCAATCTGACCAATCGTTTGTGCTTTTTCACCCTAGAAACATGAGGGGTGAGATCAACTTGATGAGGAGAAGAAAATAAATCAATTCTTCAGATATACTGCCTTATCTATAGAGTACAGTAATGCTTATTTGTATATTTGCCGCTTGAAAAAACGTGAAGGAGACAGGTACCAGAGGCATCCACTCTGAACAGCTTATAGTACATACTTGTCTTTAAGGAGCAAGCAGACAAGGAAACGCATTCCAATGACATAATTCGGTAACAATTTGGGGAATCTGCCGAACTAGTAAGTCTCATTATGAAATGCTGTGACACAGATTATCATAGCATTTACCAGATCTGCACAGTACACAGAAGCTGTTCACCTTAATGATGAGCTCTGTCTGAACTCTGTGAGTATTGAAGGGTATGTGTGACCTGAAAGCCACTTTCCACCAACTCTTTTGTAGCAGGATGGGTATTGAGGCAAAGAAAATTCTCCAAAAAGGAGAAAAGAAACTTCGTTTTATAATAGCTTTTACTGAAAAGAATACAGAAGCAAGCTGTCAAAAGTAGCAGAAATGTCATTTTTGGACTACAGGAAAGACTAGGAAGAAAAATATTGGCCACGAATAAGGCAGGCATGGAAGCCTTTCACGTGGGGAAGAAGATTATATGAAAATCCCTCAAAATGCTCAGGTGTGACAAAGTGCATGTGGAAAAAAAAATTGGTTCTGAAACCACTAAGCAGGACAAAAATATACGTACAAGACAAAAGTAACTGCGGTAGGGTTTTTTTTGTTGTTGCTTTGGTTTGGTTTTGGGGGTTTTTTTGGTTGCGGGGTTTTTTGTTTTGGTTTTGTGTGTGTGTGTTTTAAAGACACGAACACAGCAAGCATGTAATGTGTTTTAAACATCAAAGTACCTCCAATAATGCACTTCAGGCATTGACAAGGCTGGAACTCTGAAAGGGCTACTGTTAAATAACTGGGGTGTACTTTTTCCTTTCTATTACCCATTAGCTTCAGCTGTTAAGCACAGGAGACTCAAGCTGTAAATTACTTTCATATAATTTGAGCAGTATTCCCAATTGTACTAAAAACAATGGTAGAACTACAGTGAACAGAGCTCGGAACCGGGGTTTGTGTTAGCTCTGTATTTCTTCAACATCAAGAGGTAGGCGAGTGTGCAACCCACATTCAACTCATATTCCTTTGTTGCTTGAAGTAACTTAAAAATTATATATTTTTAATTTATAATTACAACATTTTAAAAATGTTGTAACCTAGAATTCTTTTTCATGTGAAGAAACATCTGAGTATAAAAACCTCAGAGCACTACTAAAGCAAATGAGCTGACAACACACAAGCTATTAAACTCCAACAGCAACTGTAGCTTGGCAAGTTTTCATAAAATTGTCATCTGTGTATGGGCAATAACTCTGCCAAGTGTTTTGTAGTAGACCACTTTTATCAAGCTGAGATAATAAGGAACCACTTATAAGAGGGAAAGCCATCTCATGGGTTTGGTTTTTTGTTTTATTTTTGAATAAAAGCAGAGTAACCTAGCTGAAAAAGGAAAGAAACAGCTATGCAGCCTACCCATGTAATTGTTCAGAATACTATTTTGTTCCTTCAAAGGCATTTTTGGTTCAGATATGGTGATCTGTATTTTACGCTACGGCACACTGTCTCTACTGCACACATTCTCTACTGCATCATGACTCACAGTACAATCGTTGGCAAGGAAAAGTAGAAAGAAATGGAAATTTTAGACACCATTGGCTTGAAAGGGAAGACTACAGTCATCCTGAACCACACCGAAGCTCAAAATGCCTTTTTGTACCTCTGTAGATACGGGCTTTTGAGAACAAACTCAGAGACAAGCCTCTGAGATGCTTTATTTTGGAAGGATTCTGTCCATTGAGTAACTTCATGCAGAACACACAAGCCATGCCCAGCGAAGGGAAGACTGCTGTTAACAGGCAGTACCCTTGTCAAGGCCAGCAGTCACTGGCTCCATTCAGCTCACTATTGTTGGTTCTAGTAATTTGCTATACCGCAATAAAGCTTTAGCAGGAGGAGTGGAACGTACTCAGCTACAGCAGTACCTCTAGCGTGGTGGTTACAGCATTCATGCAAGGGATGCAGGTTCAAATCTTTTAAGACAAAGAGGCCTTTAAAACCCAGTGCTCCCGCTTTCTGGGTAAGTATACTAACAGCAAAGTTACTAGGTAAAGAATGGACACTTCCTCCACTAACAATATTTCTGCCTTAAGAAAAGGCTGTGGCAGCAGTTACATAAGCTGAACTCAGTGGTGCCAGTGTGTAAGCAATGTTTTTATGAACTCAACTCCAAGAATCTGCAAATAGCTGTATACACAAGGAACACCCAGACCTAAGTTTCACCATGCTGAAGATTTTTCATTCTCTTTTTGCTTTTGTTTTTTGATAAAAAGTGCTCTTTAAAAAAAAATTTTTTTTTTTGGTTTGGTTGGCTTTTTGTTTGTTTTTCAGTTTTGGGGGGTTTGGGGGATATGTGTTTGTCTGGGGTTTTTACCTCTTCTGGAGGAAGACATTGGATCTTTGGTGTTACACCATAAAATCTTGTAAGAGCTTCCTTTATGGCAGTCATCTGAAAAATTAAAAAGCCTATATAAATTAATAAGTCACTAGCACATCTTCCAACAGCTCCCACACTTGTTAAGTTCACAAAAGCTTTTAGATAAAGCACAACCTTAAAGAACTATACAATTAAGAAGAGATCACTTATTCTCTAGAAATTACTTGACTCCTGC